TGAACTTCATCCTGAAAGCACTTAAGAGCTCCTGAAGTTTTTTAAGCATAGCAAAGGGTGAGTTGCTAGTCATGATTTGATTTCCACTTTAGAAAAGACCCTTGACTATTGGATGGATAATTGATGGAAGAAGTGGGGTAGAAGTGGAATTAAAGAGACCAATTTGAGGTGCCTATGAGATTTCCAAACAGACAAGAGATGATGGTTGCATGGTTTGAACTAAGGTTTGGACAGTAGAGATAAAAAGAAGTGGATGGATTCATGATATATTTTGAAGGTAGATCTGATGGGACTTCATAATTAATTATATGTCAACAATAGGTGAGGAATCCAGGATGACTAACTTGGGTAATTAGATGGGTGATGGCCCTATTGAGATAGGGGACATTGGATGAGGCATAGTTTCAGGGTGGGGAGAGAAGAGGGTAGATGATTTCAGCTTTGCAAATGTTAAATTTGAGGTGTCATTAAAACATTCAGATGGGGGCATTCCAAATGCAGCTGACTGTACATAAATTGAGTTCAGGAGAGAGATCTGTGGCAGAGGTATAAATTTAGGAGTCACTGGCATAGAGACGGAGTGGATGAGATCACCCATGGAGAATGTTAAGAATAAGAACCAGCAGTCTAGAAGTCTAGGTGAAACCGTAAGAGAGCAGGAATAGTCAGATTTAAAGGGTGGGCAGAAGAAGAGGAACTTATAAAGGAGACCTAGAAGAATCATTTTGAAAGGCGGGGAAAACAGAGTGGTGCTACAGAAAACAAGGGAGAAGACAGTTTTAGGAAGGAGAGAGACAAGGTGAGATGGCACATATGACTATTGGATTTTGAAACAACGAAATAGTGGATAACTTTGGTGAGAATATTTTCTGTCAAGAGCTAATGACAGAAGCCAGATTGCAGAGGGCTGAGCAGTGAGTGGAAGGGCGAAGAAGTGGAGACATTAATATTAATGACTGTTTAAGAATCTTGGCTGCAAAGAGAATGATCAAGATAAGCTACTAGCTGCACAGGGAGGATGAAGGTAGGGAGCCCAAAAAGAATGGTAAATATTTGAAGTAGTCATCAGGAGGATGCTTCCCAGGGGAAGGAGAGGGATTGCCAAGCCGCACTGAAGGCCTCATTGAGCTGCTCAGTCGCGATCAGGATAGGTACCACTGTGCCCAGGTTAGCAATAAGAAAACCAATGCTCTGAGAAGACTTGCTCAGTGTCACAGCTGATAAGTGACAGCTGAGATTCAAACTAGATCTCCTGCCTCACCTGTCATCAAATGTTTATTGGCTCCTGCTCTTCACTGCTTTGCATCGGCTTTGGCATTGTCATATCCATCGCTGACGAATGCTATTATTAACCATGTGCCCAATGCTGAGGAGGCACAATAGAAATTTAATATAAGTTTTTTCACCCTCAAATTGTTTAGAATTTGATTGAAGAGACAAGGTGTTCAACAAAGGTCTTGTGCCTGGCACAGTGCTCTACCCAAAGCAGGAGTTCAAGAAATGTCTTCTTGGGGCCGAGCGCAGTGGCTCACGCCTGTAATCCTAGCACTCTGGGAGGCCAAGGCCGGTGGATCGTTTGAGTTCAGGAGTTCGAGACCAGCCTGAGCAAGAGCGAGACCCCGTCTCTACTAAAAATAGAAAGAAATTATCTGGACAACTAAAAATATATATATAGAAAAAATTAGTCGGGCATGGTGGCGCATGCCTGTAGTCCCAGCTACTCAGGAGGCTGAGGCAGGAGGATCGCTTGAGCCCAGGAGTTTGAGGTTGCTGTGAGCTAGGATGACGCCACGGCACTCTAGCCCGGGCGACAGAGTGAGACTCTGTCTCAAAAAACCAAAAAAGTCTTCTTAATGAATGAATAAAAGTGGTAAAGAGGTTTTGAGGGGCTCTATATGACTACCAGATAGGGACTTTCTAAATGAGTCAATGACACTTCAGTGTAAGGGTCATCGAAGTCCTGCCCAATATATATAATGGTGTAACTCTTCTTGCACTTGTATACACATTCATTCTCTCTCTCTCTCTCTCTCTCTCTCTCTCTCTCTTAATCCTCTTCTTCCTCTGATCCCCTGTCCCTCTCTCAATCTTCTTTCACCCAACCATTGTTCATCGCACCCACCAGGTAGGTTTTGCCCCTTTCCTCCTCCCCTCTTCCCCCTGCTTGATTTCCACTGAGTTTTACTTCCCTCTGTGCACATGTGTGCTCATCAGTTAGTTCCAATTTAATAGAACATGTGGTGCTCATTTTTCCACACTTGAGATACTTCACTTCAGAGAATGGTCTCCAGTTGCTTTGCCACATTTTTTTTTTTTTGAGACGGTCTCAATCTGTCGCCCTGGGTAGAGTGCGGTGGTCTCATCCTAGCTCACAGCAACTTCAAACTCCTAGGCTCAAGCAATCCTCCTGCCTCAGCCTCCCGAGTAGCTGGGACTACAGGCATGCGCCACCATGCCCAGCTAATTTTTATATATATATATATATGTTTAGTTGTCCAGCTAATTTCTTTCTATCTTTTTTAGTAGAGATGGGGTCTTGCTCTTGCTCAGGCTGGTCTCGAACTCCTGAGCTCAAACAATCCGCCCGCCTCTGCCTCCCATAGTGCTAGGATTACAGACGTGAGCCACCACGCCCGGCCTCTTTGCCACTTTTATTCATTCATTAAGAAGACATTTTTTGAATTCCTGCTCTGGGTAAAGCACTGGGCAAGGTACATGAGGTACAGAGATAAATAAGATATAGTACCTGCACTCAAGTAGCTCACAGACCAATGGGGCAGAATAAGGGTTTAAACAGGAAATTGCAATATAGTGCAAAAATTACTCTCTCTACTTCAGTTTTCTCATCTGTACAATAAGGATCATTAGTACCTACCACAAAAGAACTTGTCGTGATTATTAAATGAATTAAAATGTGTAAAAGTGCTTATAATGGTCACATACAAAACACTATATGTGTTGCTATTACTGTTATTATTAATACTGTGATGGAAGTAAGTAAACACGAGATACTGTAAGAGCATAGAGGAGGAGCACTTGACCCAGGCTAGAATAAAAGACATCTAAGCTGAGTCCTAAAGGATGAGAAGGCACTAAACAAAAGAAGAACAATGCAGGGCATTCCACACAGAACAATCTGTGCTCACATTTGGGAGCAAAAGACCACATGACATGATTGAGGAACTGAAAATAAATTAGTTCAGCCAAAGTATAGAGTACAAGGAGGAGAATGGCAAGAGACTAAGCTTGAGAGGTCACGGAGTACCGGTAAGTTTGGACTTTAGCTGAAGAGAAGCCATTGGAATGTTTTATGTACAGTAGTGACCTTATCAGATTAATGTGTCAAAAGATTACCTTGATGACTGTGTGGAGGAGGCAAGATTAGAAGTAAGACCAGTTAGGAAGCTGTTGCTATGGTTCAGGTGAGAGAGAATGAGAAAACCCGGAACTAGGAAAGTAGCAGTGGAGACGGAAAGCCATGGATTCAAGATAGACTCAATAGGTAGAACTGGTGGGACACAGTGAGATTGTAGAATGCGGGCATAAGTGCAAGAAAGGTGTCAAGGTTCATTTCCCGGATGGAAGTGGATGGATAGAGGCACAAGGGGATGGATAGAGGCAGTGACCACAGGGAACCTAAGGAAGAACCGTCTAGGGAGAGGTGCAATGGGAGAGGTGATGAGTGAGTATTCTTTGGACATGTCAAATTCAAGGTGCCTATGAGATTTCTATGTGGACATTTTGACTAGGTGATTGCTCTGCCAGTCTTGGAAGCTTAGAAGGGTCTATGTTGGAAATTCAGATTTGGAAGAGCCAGTGGATGGATGGGTAGTAGATCAGGTCATGGGGGCAGGTGAGTTTGCTCAGGGACAGAATGTTGATTGAGAGAAGGATGGACTTCTGAGGAATACCCACATGTAAGAGATGAGTAGGGAAAGAGAAATCTTGAAGAAGGCTAAAATCGAATAGCCAGATTGTAGTGGGTTGAAAAATTAGTGGGTCGGAAGGTCTCGTAGAGGATGGGGAGAAGGGTGTGCCCTTGACCCTTAGTGTCCTGATCCTTGGCAAGAGTGGGGGTTTTCTGAACACAGCAAAATCCTGTACAGCTCTGAGATTCCAAAGGATTGGCTCAGATGCCTGCCTCATACAAAGCCCTCTATTTTAGAGCAGCCTCTCTTTCTCCTGTCTGCCCTAGTGCCCCTAGTACATAGCTCAGGGAATTTCAGGGCTCCCTCTAGGCCCTGGAACAACTCTTTTGCTCTAGAATACTCCCTCATCATTTAAGAGGCTGACGGTGGATGGGGGCATCTATTAAGAGACCAGATAGGAAATGTCTGGGTGTGTTATACATGCAGGAGGCCTTAGGCTAGCCTGCAGAGGGGGATTTGGGCAGGGCTGGGAGGAACCGAACTCTCAGCGTGTGAACAGAATACTTTTTTACCCACCTACTCCAGTGTGCCCTGGAGTAGATTTTCACCATGGGCACTACTCTCTAGGCCCTTGGAGATTCAAGAGGCCTCTAACAACCTGGAGTCCAAGGCTATATTCTAGGACCTGTTCCTCCTGATCCAGTCCCCTGGAGTTTGGCCTCAGTCTGCAATTGAGGGGCCCTGTGGCACTGTTCCTTGGCAACGTGTTACGTGGAAGGCTTTAGACACTAGCAGTTGAGTTAATACAGCCACCACAACCGCCACCGCCATCACCACCTTCCTGGAAAGTAGCCACCTGTCTAACCCTTGGCTTTGTCTAGCTGCCAACATAAGGCATGTGCCTACGCAGGAAGCGATGACATTTTGGCTCCGCTTTCAAAGTTTTTTTTTTCCCCCTTTCTCATGTGTTATTTCTAAAGATAACAAAGGTCAAAAGGCATCCAGCAATTTCTGGTTTCTCATAAGCTTCTGGTCAATATTTAATCTGGTTTATGGATTTTTTTTTAGGTCTTCTAGATGCCTTCTTGAGCCTGCTTGTGGCCACCCACAGACACTTGTAAGGAGGAGAGAAGTCAGCTTGGCAGAGTTACTCTGAAATGAGGAATTAGAGGCTGAGATCTGAGGAACAAGAACTGCAGCCAGAAGAAGAGGGACCGGGCCCTGAAGACACTTCTACTGAGAGGTCTGCCATGGCCTCTCTTGGCCTCCAACTTGTTGGCTACATCCTAGGCCTTCTGGGGCTGTTGGGCACGGTGATTGCCATGTTGCTCCCCAATTGGCGAACGAGTTCTTATGTCGGTGCCAGCATTGTGACGGCAGTTGGCTTTTCCAAGGGCCTCTGGATGGAGTGTGCCACCCACAGCACAGGCATCACCCAGTGTGACATCTACAGCACCCTTCTAGGCTTGCCTGCTGACATTCAGGCTGCCCAGGGCATGATGGTGACATCCAGTGCAATCTCCTCGCTGGCCTGCATTATCTCTGTGGTGGGCATGAGATGCACAATCTTCTGTCAGGAATCCCGAGCCAAAGACAGAATGGCGGTAGTGGGCGGAGTCTTCTTCATCCTTGGAGGCCTCCTGTGCTTCATTCCTGTTGTCTGGAATCTTCATGGGATCCTGCAGGACTTCTACTCACCACTGGTGCCTGACAGCATGAAATTTGAGATCGGAGAGGCTCTTTACTTGGGCATTATTTCTTCCCTGTTCTCCTTGGTGGCTGGAATCATCCTCTGCTTTTCCTGCCTATCCCAGAGAAATCGCTCCAACCACTACGATGCCTACCAAGCCCAGCCTCTTGCCACTAGCAGCTCTCCCAGGCCTGGTCAGCCTCCCAAAGCCAAGAGTGAATTCAACTCCTACAGTCTGACAGGGTATGTGTGAAGAACCAGGGGCCAGAGCTGGGGGTGGCTGGGTCTGTGGAAACCAGTGGACAGGCCCCTGGGGCCACAGGTGAGGGACGTTGCCACTGCATCATGTCAGAAGGTGCTGCTGAGGACAGACTGACTTTGGCCGCTGGATTGAGCAAAGGCAGAAATGGGAGCTAGTGTGACAGCGGGCAGGTTGAATTGCCTGCAGGATGCTCGCCAAGCCAGCCTTTCTGTTTCCCTCACCTTGCCCTCCCCCTGCCCTGAGTCCCCAACCCTCAACTGGAAATCGCAGCCCCTACCTTTAGCCAGGCCCCAGAGGCTCCCTTCTGCCCTTTGGTTTACCTGGGAATCCATCCCCAAACCCACTAATCACATCCCGGGGACTTACTCTCTCTGATCAAGGACCCTCTCCCTCTGGCTGAGGTTGCTCTTAGCTTGTCGCTGGGGGATGGGGGGAGAAGTGGTGGCTTTTATGGGCATGGCTCCAAACTCCTTCTCAAGCCTCCCTCTAAAGAAACTGATTGGTCAGTAATGGGCCATGGAACCTCCATCCCACTCCTGTTATGACTCCACAGTGTCCAGACTGGTTTGTGCATGAACTGAAATAAAACCATCCCACGGTATCCAGGGAACAGAAAGCAACTGGGTGCAGGATGAGAGGATGGGTAGGCAGCCTGGGACCAAAAAGAGACCAGAACCATTTCCCAGGACACTTCCCAGAATTCCCTCACGTTTGTGGGCCAGGGATGGAGCCTGTGGCTTGAGGAATGCACGAGGAAAGAAGATCTGGTGGAAAGCTCGGGTGGCAGCAGACTTTGACTCCCCTGAGAAACTGCCTCAGAAGCTGTGGCCCCAACTTCTGCTAAGGCCCCTTCCTTCCTCTGGGGCACCTGACCTGCCTCCTGGCCTCCTCCACAAGGCTAAGGGCCCTAGACAATGGTTGCCTTAAGAACAGTGAACCAGTTTTTCTAGTGATAGTCCTTGGCTGGAGGATGACAGCATGGAAGTGTGCGGTACTGAGGAAGATACCACGCCCCAGTGCTGGCCAAGGAAGAATAAGAACTTTGGTATCTAAGAAGCTGGGTGGACATCTGTGGTGGCTCCAGTGGGCGTTGCTACTGTGCCAGAGAGTCTTCAGGCCTAATGAAAAATCAGCCCCAAAGGCTGAGATCAGGCCCCTGGGGGTTACCCACAGAGTACTACAGAGCCTTTGGGAGACCACAGCACCCGGCAGGCCTGGCCTGTTCTCCCCACATCCATCAGAAGACATCCAGAAATGCAAGAGGGCAACCAAGGGCTCCAGTATGGCACATCCCTGCCCAAGGTGCTATGACCATGGTCTGAGTGATGGCTGAGTTGGGATTGCAATTGAGGTGGGAGATTAGAGAACGGTTCCCAGGCAGACAGTTCCACCTCTAAGGTCTGAAAATGCTCCATTTCCCCTGCAGTGGGAGTGGATGTCATAAGCCAAAGACATTTTTCCTTACCAGCCTAGGCATGACCAGCTTCTGAAAAACTCCAGTACCCCTCCCCAAACCTCAGTGCCAGCAGAAGGGGCCCATTCATTGTCTCTAACGTGCTTTTCACATTTCCACCTTCTTGCCTATGTTCCAGCTGTTCTCCCAACCCGAAAGGCCCTCTCCCCTTAGCAGAGTCCTTCTCATGCTTGGGGAACTTGCTCGGTGTCACCTCCTTCACTGAGCCTTCTCTGACCACTCCGTTCCTCTCCTCCCTCTCCCTCCTCCAACCCTCAATGTATAAATCCCTTCTTGATGCTTATCATTCACAATTTTTGATTGATAGTTATTGATAGTTATCTTTTCATGAGTGTGTCTGATCTCACAAGTACACTGTAAACTCTTGGAGGGTTGGGACCGCATCTTAGACCTCTCTGTATCCCCCAGACTATCTGTAACAGTGCTGGGCACACAGTAGGAGATCAATAAACACTTGTTGATTGAGTCTGTTTTGTTGATTAAAAGGGGCCCAGACAGGGCAGGTGTGATTGGAGGGAGTTGGGCTAAGGGGAGGGGAGGGTGGAAGCTGGCCTTTCTCCCCACAGGATGAATAGAAAATTCTGGACTTTACTGGAAACAGTTAGAAAGCATGACAACTCCCCTCCCAACAAAACTCTACCTCTTCGTCTTAACCAGGGCTCTTCCCTTTTCAAAACAATTACTTCATTTATTTGCTAAATGATTATGTATGTATTTCTTTCTTTCTCTGAACCACTACTATGAGGAAGGTGAACGAGTTCTGATCACGTCCGTTGGGCAGATGGGGAAACTAAAGCCCACACAAGTGAAGAAATTTTTCCAGGGCCACACAGCTGGTGTTAGTACCCCAGTCTCCTGACTCCCAAAGTAGGACCCTGCTGATTCAATATTACGGCCAATAGGAAGAGCCTTCCAGAGGTCCCAAAGCTGCATGGGGAAAATAACTATGGCCAGCCAGGTAGCAGTGAGGGGCGCAGGCTCTCCTGGTCTTCCATGAGGGTGATCTGGGAGAGCAGGACCAATTCATCAAGTACACCACCTGGAACCGCCCCTCCTTCCATGCTGGCCAGCGTGGGCCCAGCTAGCTGCCTTACCAGGGGGATGCCAGGCTTACATTTGATTAAGACATAATACCTCAGTTCAAATTCTCCTAACTCTGGGGGTGCGGGAGTTTAGGAGGCCAATGATTTGGCCCTGTTCTAACTGTTCTCTTCAGCTGGTTGAGCAAGAAAAGCTTTGCTCTAGTTTCCCAGATATGTTCCTGAGTCCTTCTGGGGGCCAAGGCAAACATCTTTCAGCTCACCCCATTACCTTCTCTCATAAAATAATTTAGATTAGCCATAGACCTAGGAAATAGTGAAGGCCATTGTGTTTGTGCCCCAGCCTCATGGCTCTCATTGGGAATTAACAAAGCCTTGTTCATAAGGGTGTTAACTGTGGCAACAGTGACAATAATGGGGCCCTCCAAGATTCAGTTTAACCAGGCCCTGCACTTAGAGAGTCTCAGCACATAGGAACTTATTAAACCAGACACTACCCTTGCACTTCTGAAATGGGCCTTCCTTGCTGCAGACTCTAGAACCTCAGCATTCAAGCCAATTTAGAGGGAATGGCAGCAGGTGGGAATAAGGATTGAGAGAGGGCTCTCTAGAAAGAAACTTAACAAGAGGTCATGTCTCTGGTCTGACACCAGGAATCCTGGAGCCCTTGACTGGGAGCCACTGGAGGTTGGAAGACAGGGTTGCCTTGCTGACTCTGCTGTGCTGTGTGGGCAGCAGTCTAGTGTGTGCTCTGATGACCACCACCCGGCAGCCAAAGCACTTTCAGATCCACCAATTTCACTGTGTCCTCCAAATACCCCAGTGAAGCAGGTCTTTTACAGGGGACAAAATGGAGGCCCAGAGTAGTTAGTAAAATCCTCCAAGTCAGAGTGTCGGAGTCTGAAGATAAGCTTGGAAACTCTTCCCACAACAAAGTGGGTCCAGGATTCTGGTCTCAGAAGGTATATGAGGGCCCGTTGCTCTTCACACTCCTGCAGCCTCTGTGTCCCTGTCTTCCACTCGAATACGAGGGCCTTTGAGAAAAACAGGGCACAGAGTTTCCCTTCACCTTAGGCTGGCCCGAGGGATCCTCCTACCTTTGTTAATCTGGAAAGTTTCAAGGGAAGGAGTTAGAAGTTTATCCTCAATTAGAAAAACCAGGGGACACATGACAAAGAGCAACTTATTCCCTTTGGCTGGTTGAGCAAGAAAAGGTTTGCTCTAGTTTCCTAGAATTCTTCCTGAGTCCTGCCTGGGTCCAAGGTGAACATCTTTCAGGTCAACCCATTACCTTCCCTCATAAAGTAATTTAGATTAGCCATAGACCTAGGGGATGGTGAAGGCCATTGTGTTTGCACCCCAGCCTCATGGCTCCGATCCTTGCACAAGGAGAGATGTTTCTGCCCTCCCTCATTCCTCTGATAATAATGTGACTCATGCTTTTTACCCCCTGGAGCCCTGGAAACCCACTGCTAGGTGATCATTAGTGGGAGTGGAAAGACTGAAACTGGCTTCTTAGTGGAAAGGCAAGTTCCAAGTTTCTAAGAGACTTTCATCCAACCAGTCAAACCTCCATTCAAATAGCCACCTGCCAGCCAGCCAGCCCATACTAACTGAACTCTTACTCCGTGTCAGGCAACATGATAAAGGCTTTGAGGGTGACAAGAGTGAACAAGATAAAGTCTGTACCTTGTAGGAGTTGACAGCTGATCTAGGGGAGATAAGACATGCACCCCTAAATGTGGTACAAGGCAGAATATGCACTGTCCTGTGAGAGATAGGGGGAAAGTGACGTTAAGATAGGGGTGTCAGGGGCTGAGGAAAAGAGTGTAAGTCCCCTTAACTTCCAATCCATATGAAATGAGGGCCTGGCACTAATTGAGCTTCTAGGGGAAGGACGATTGAAAGAAACTGCCTTCTGAAGCTGAAGGACTATGGGAAATTGAGAAATAGGATGGAAGGCAGTACTAAGGAGGTAACAGGGATATACTGCACATCTAACCCTCAATCCTTTTGAGTTTGCCTTACAGGACCCCTAAGTGGCTCTGAGACAGAGAGTGACACTGGGGCTCAGCCTCTCCTCCCACATCTTCTTCCCTTGGGCAGGTCTCCAGAACTTGCTGAGGGCAGCAGAGGCAGTGCCCACCCAGGTAGCCGGGGGCCTCCTGACTCTGGCCTGGAGGAGAATCATAGGTGTGGGAGAAGGGAGAGGGGAGAGTAGGGCCTAGTACCAAAAGGAAGGCAAATGAGGCCCTGCAGGGTCAACTGTTCCCTCCTACTCAGCCCTGGGTCCTTGGACATGGGATTCTTTTGTGCCTGCAGCCGCCCACTCTGGGACACAAAGGCCCTAGGCTGGGAAGCACACGTGCTCCTCAGCTGGCTGAAGCCTGGCTTTAGCCCAGACTGCTCTCCCTGCCCAAGCGGTTCCTGGCTTTGATGAGAAATTCTGTTATCTCAAGAGGGAAAAGAACCTCAAACAGGAAGTCCAGCAGGTTATCTCTCTCTTCTGCCCTAAGAGGTGGCTCACTATATGCTGTGATGTGATCACTGATAAAATATTAACAGGCTGTTATCAGGTACAGTGATAGAGGCTGTAATCTAACCATCTCCTCCCACCCACAACCCACCACTTTCCTGGGAATTGCAGCTTGGGGATTCCTAGTTAACTCTCACCTACAATTCCCTGCTCTAGGCCTCATTGCTCCAGAAGACAAGCAGGAAGCCACCCTGCAAGGGCACATCATCAGGTCCCTTTCAGGAGGGAGCTGCTGCTTTTCTGTCCTCCCTGAAGTCCCATTCTTCCAGGAAGGTAGCCGCCTCCTGGTGACTTTGAAGAACTTTTGTTTGCAAATACTCATGACTTTGTGGAGATAACACTGAGAATGCTCACATGCTTTTAAAAAGATAGTAGGGAGTATAATGGGATGTGAAATGAGCTGCCAAATGAGTAGTGTGGCAGGCAACCCAGCATTTGAGTGGTCGCTCCTATTCTCCAACAGCACTTTCAAAGTCTAATGTTTGACAAAGTTCTGTGGGGGAGAAAGGCCAGTTACACCAAAGGTACAAAGATAAGATGCTCTTTGCATCCTCTTCTCCTGAATTTATTTCTGGAATTACCCAATGGGATGCAAGAGGATGGATCAGC